ACTGCCAGCGCCCTTGATCTGCCTCTCCTTTGCACCAGCCCTTGTGCTGCTTATATCCCTCACTGCACTCTTCTGGCACCTGGGTCAGTTAAACCAGGCAATGCCCAGGCTACTGCGGAGACACATCTTCACATGAGGGTCTTTGACATTTCTGCAAATACCAACCATTGGATCTAGTTTCTGTTGCTTTCATTGGCATAGCTCTTTTCTCTTTTTGGAGTAAAAGGAAAACAGACAGATGTTTTCAAAGTGCTGCAGTAGTTCTCAAACTACTTCTGCAGCTACAGCTGCAACCTATTGAACATCTCAGGGGGTAGGATAGGCTTAATGTGCCAATAAAGAGGTCTCTGAGCAGCACTGGAGCCAGATACAACATTCACAACATGGGGAGATTCAGGATCTGTATGCTGTAAGCCTCAAAACCTGTGAGCCCTAGAGGAGCTTCAGTCCCAGGTTTAGGCTCTCAGTGGGGAGGAGAGGCATCCTTGCACATGTAGTCCTTCTCCCACAGCAAGCATCGGTGGTGCAACCTCTCTTCTCTGTTCTCATCTCCCTGCTTGGGAGCCATGAGATGCTGTGTAATGACAGTCAAAGCTGTTTCCAAAGGCACATGTGGCTTGCTGTGCTCCAGTGGCCCTTTGTGGCAAGCAAAGGGGATTTGCAGTTGAGAGAAGGGAATTCTTCAGGAGTCAAGGAATAAAGATGAGATTTCCAGACATGTCCAGCCACAGTCCTGACCCTGTGATGGTCAAGGGTAGCACTTTTCATCATCTCAGGAGAAGGAAAGGGAGGTTGGAAATCTGTGAATCCTTCAACCCCTCTGTGTAAATGCGTTTTCTCTATGTGCTGCTGAGGGATGTATTGCCCCTGTGCAGCCTCAGAGTCTCGCCATTTTTCCTGGGCAGTGGGAAGAGGGGCAATACATCCAGCTGCCATCTTCTTGGCATGGCGCATGCTGTCTGCCATCCCCAGCAACAGGAACTCCCCCTGCAGAAAGTCAGATTCAGGGCTTACATTAAGCTGAAAAAGCTGGTTTTGAATCAGTGATACAGCTCTTCAGATGACTAGAAAGGATTTAATATAATTTGTCCCGGTAAAATCCCAGTTTTTAGCACAAGCAAAATGCTGTCACAATCCCCAGAATTCACTGCTTTTTCATTAATATTGATTCACAGGGTTTTTCCATAGCAAAGACATTAATTTGGCATGTTTGTTTCAGCGGGAACTTAAAGAACTGAGTGTATGCATTTCACAAAGTCAGTTTTCCTAATATTGAAGATTCTTATTTTGACTCAAGTTTCCATTCCTCCTTAGAGGACACTGAAGAGCTAATCCACTTTGAATATTTTCCCTCCCAGATTATTTCTAGTGCTTAGCATTCAAAACTTACCCTTCATTAGGGACTGATACAGGATCTATTAAAGTCAACGAAGTAATTCTTATTTATTTATTTTCTTCTTTCTTTTTATTTTTATTTCTATACTTACTCTCCTTTTGATTTCAGTGAGCAATGCATTGGAATTGAAAATATATTGTCTAGATATTTGTCTGGAACTGGTAAAACTCTCGTTTTGCAGCTTAGCCCTAAATATGATGACTTTTCACATTTTCCCTGCAAAAGTAGGAAAAGTATCTTCAAATGGCATAAATATCTTCTTTTTCTCTTCCTGTCAAACAAGAGTAGATTAGTTTTTAAAGTAAAATCTGTAAGGAACATTTTTGGAGAAAGCGCTACTTTGCTCAGATTTTCCCCTCAGGCAGGAGTTCCACTAGGCAGCCTTGGGTTTGATTTTCTGGTTTTCCAAAATCTGTAAGACACAAACTTCTATGTAAAAAAGCATTAGAATAAATTACTTTACAAGTCTGGTGGAAACCTGTTTTCAACTGTTACTATATTATAAATAATGAAAATGTATACATTAATTAAAATTATTTTCATGCTTCTTTGTTTAATGCAAAGCTCATCCGACAGCTTTTAGTATTCTGTTCCTTGTCATGCTCTAGTTTTTAAAAGAATAAGTATTAGAAAGCTGTGCATATGCTATTTACACCTACACATCAAATGTTATTTCTTTCCATATCTAGAAATATATTCTAAGTATAGAATATATAGAACTTTGGAATAAATTCATGAAATATTACTTCCAGGTGATGCAGAATCCTGTTGCTGAGCCAAAGACACCACTCCAGCCCAGCAAGAGCCCTTCCCAGAAGATGCCCATGTGTATAATTTCAAAGATTAGTTCTGGGTTCCTCACAACTTTTTCAATAACATTAGTTACGGTTGGCCCTTACTCTTCATTACTCTTCACCTCTGTAGCATGAGAAAAAAGCTGACCCCACAGGCATCACGGATTCTGGAGTTGTCCCCCAACAGTTGTGAATTGCTGATGTCTCATAATGGAGACTCTAAAGCCCACTATTGCTATATCACTTATAGCCAATGATTCAGCACATCACAAGTGATGCCTCTGTCACTGGAAAAAAAACAAGGAAAAAGAAACAGAGAAGAGGATCAAAAAAAGATTTCTCATCTCATACTGCACCTTTTTCTCCCCACTTTCCTCTTATTGCAACATAGTTTTTCTTAAAGATCTCTTTTATCCAATAGGCTTTGTCACAGCACATGACAACATCTGTCTGGTGAGAGATGGCTAAAGCTTTCTTCTTGAGCACCGAATGGTTCTGTACTCAGGTCCAGCCTGTAACAACAGGGTGCCAATGGCCTGACCTGATGTTGCATCCTTTAAAGAGAAGTTTAAAGCTTTTTAAGCTTGTCTTGATAAATTAGAAGTCATAATAATTGTTTTATAGCTAAATGCAAGTACTTAAATTCCCTAGGGTTTTATTTTATCTTACCATCTAGAATTGTAACCTGCAGGTTTGCCCATACATCTGGAAGCTCTTCAGAATTAATCCTGGGTCTCTTTCCTTCCATCCTGCTGTGTCTCCTGCTTCATGAAGGCTATTTGTCCAGGGCTTACTTTGTAATCCATTCTTTTTCCTTTTTCAATGGTGGTGTTGAAATGAAACCCGTTCACTTTTTAATTCTGCTGCTTCTCTGAATGCAAGGTGTCCAGTTTTGGAGTCTTATTTCTTTGATAAACCTATGGAGCATTTCTTTAGGAAAGTCATGTCCTTCTGGAAGTACTGCTACCCTTGTTATTTGACTTTTTATCTGCAGGCAGTTTCTCAGCCAGTGTAAAACTTTCTGCTGCCAGCCACATTCTTTGAGGAAAAGATTAGTATTACTAATATACCAGTATACTCTGGTATCAAACCATTTTTGTGTGGCGTGGTTCAGAGGCCACTGAGCAGCATGCTGAGAACTTTTCTGTATCATGTGGCCATTCCTAACTGGTGTTCTTGGTGGGCTTTGTCCGTTTGCATGCATTATTTATGTCCAAGATTTAGATAATTTCAAGATTCACAACTTAATTGCTGTGCAGCTATAAATTCTGACTGTCTTCAAGAAGAGAGACACCTGTATTTTGCACACAGATTACTCCCTGACTGGACCCAAACGTATATACAAGGCAACAACAGAGTAATCTTGTGGATACTGTCAGCGTACCTCAAATTTGATCAGCAGAATATTTTAGCAGACTATTTAGTCAATGCTAACAGCCAAGTAAAGTGTGGAAGGGAATTTCTGATGTGAGTGCTGGAGGCACATAGGCTTCACCACAAGAAGAGAGGTACAAACATCCATCAGCTGAGAACTGGTTTGCATTGCTATTGTAGTGGTCTGCAGTCCTTGGGGAGCGTTTTGAGCCATAGGCTCTGACAGTCATTTGCAACACATGTGGGGACTGAGGATTAAGATTAATCCTGCCGTTATACCTTCATTTAAAGCAGAACTTTTGGAACAAGGGGCTGGTAAAAGCAAGTCCTGAGTGTTTATGTATCAATGAAGGCTTCTAACTTCCCACACAAACAGTTTACAGCTGAGTGTCCTCACCCTGCTGGAGCTCATGGAACTAGGATTGCACTGGGGTTTTCCTCTACTTTATTATCCATTAATATAATGCTCTTCCACTTTAAAAAGGAATAAAAGCAAATCTTACACTTTAAAACATATATATTACAATATTTGAGTCAAAATCTTATTTTGCAAAGCAGAACAGTTTAAACAGTTGTCTTGAGTTCTCACTTTTTCACCCTTCCAGGGCTGTCAGTTATGTCTGGATCCACAGTCTCAGATCAAAACGGCTGTTTCCAATTCTGTCACAGGTGTAAGTGACAGGAGAGTCTACAGAGCTGAGGAGGGTATGGGGAGATAGCATGCACAACTGGCTTTTTACTATTAGTTTACATAGATGTTTAGTAATCAGATTTGTCAAGATCTCTAGATTCCCTCCCTTGTCCTGGTACTGGAACAAAGCCTAGGTGTTACAGGCATCTGCGTAGAGCGGGATGGGACACAGATACACAGAGACACGAATGCAGACACACACACACAAATGGCTTAGCAAAGCTGTTGTACCTCTTAGCGGAAGCAAATGAGAAGCAAATGCAAATGTTTTTCAAGGTCTGTCATATCCTAGCCCCATGTCTGATATGGTCCTTGAGACGGTATGGAACACCTCTCCTATAAGGAAAGGCTGAGAGTTGAGGCAATTCAGCTCTAGGTAGACCTTTCTGTGGCCTTTCAGTTCTTAAAAGGGACCTACAAGATCGATGGGGTGAGGCTTTTCAGCAGGGCCTGTTGCAATAGAATGAGGGATAACAGTTTTTGACTGAAACAGGGGGGATTCAGGCTGGATGCTAGGAAAAAATTCTACAGTGAGGGTGGTAAAATACTGGAACAGTTTGCTGAGAGAAGTGATGGACACACCATCCCTGGAAGCATTCATTTTATATTTCTATGCTTTCAGGGTCTGCAACAGCATAGATAGATAAATAGCATAGTGTGCTACGTCAGGTCAGCAGAAAGTTGCTTTTCACCCTCTTTCTGCTGCACAATCCTCCAGCTGCAAGTGAAGAAGAGACTGAAGAAATGTTAGTACCACATTTAGCTTTATTGAAATTGAACAAATGCCATTTTTTAATAAACCCTTTTACAGCAAGTGTAAAATTTTAATGTTTGATTCATCTTATGTTACAGGTTGTCATCTGTGTAAGCAAAAATACCATCTTTTTTTTCCCTTTTTTTTTCCCCTTTTCTACTTTAAAACATGTAGCAAGGATTTGAATAATGCAGATCTGGCACCAAAAGGTAACAGGTTCTGAAAATCACAGTACAGTTTTAAAATTCTTAGGTTAATTAATGATATTTAAAATGATAGCCACTTTGAGTAAAGATATAAATTAGAGGTCTGTAAACGAGTTGTGTTTACCTATAGAGCTATCGATTGCAGCTACAATGAGAGCAGTTATAGAAACTCAATGATAAACTGAGCTACACCTTTGAGGAAACAAGTTCTTACTAAGTAGTGTGGTACAGGGTAGCACAATAGGTAAAATACAATTTGGCACCTCAAGTTGCATGTAAAATCAGCAGAAACAAAATGAAGTAAGTGCACTGTCTTCCAACAAAAATAAACCAGTCGGTTTCACTGCTTTTGGAGTGTCAACTATCAAATAAATCACACGACACACAAGTTCAACCCCAAAATAACAATTCTAGTAAAGCAAGATAATATTAAAATGCACACCCACAAGGATAGTAAAGTATAAATATTTTTTTTCTTTTTTTTCCTCTCCCTTATCAGTAGAAATAATTTACAACCCACAAAAAGACTCCTTGGTGAAACCACTAACTACAGACATGGTCATGGAATGTAGCTCAGTAGACTTGTTTCAAATAGAAAGGCAACATTATCCTGAAAAAGTTTGGTCCTCTTATAACTCACTGTACTGTAGCCACCACAGTCTCTTGGTAGATGTTTTAGGAGAATTGTATGTTTTCTGATTCTCTCTTGTTTGAAATATAATATCTTGGTGATAAAGCTGAGCAAAATTTGGCCCCATTTACAGATGTCTGATCAATGTTGAATGTGGAAGAACAGCACTGAGAGCACACAGGGGGAACCCTCATTGACTGGTCTCACAGCGTATTTTTTCATGCAATCACTTTTCCTTCTATACTTCTTTTCCTTTTTGTTCGTTTTTTTCGTCAGTGTCCTGGGGGAAAAGAAACCCTTAGTCCAAATGACAGAAAGACTTTTCACTGTTTATTTACACATGGATCACTTTGGCTAAGAAGTCCTGGTGAACCAGAGTTGCCTATTTCTTGTGAATGTCCTCATGCCGTATAATTTTGTATGTAATCCAGTAAAAGATGTTGAAAATGAGGAAAGCGAGTGGGAATGCAGCACGGGATATTGTATCAATCCTTTTTGCACGGTCAACAAACTTCTTTTTGATGGAATCTGAATCCTTTGGTGGTGCTGGAGGTGGGTTGGGTGAGGTGGCCTTGACTGCTGTGCCATCTTTGACTTGGAGGCAGTGACCCATCCCATAGCCACTGAAATTAAATCGACTGTCACGAGTGACTTCATCTTCCTGGGGAATAAAGAAGACAAATAAGACGCACATTACCTGCTTATTGAACATGCCATACACTGGAGTAGTTGAGGTGCACTCCTCCAAAGCACCTAAGCAAATTATCTGGTTAAACTGTGATACAAAGTCCAGGTTTCAAAGACAAGCAAGCAATTAAAACTCACACTAAAAATGCATGGAAATTAGATGACTGTTAGTGTTTGTGAATCAGAGCTTTAATTTTCCTAGCTATCACTAAATCAAGTGCCCTGAGGGAAGAGAACTGGTACAAGTTCCTCATTGTTCTTAGGCTTGCTGTGGGAAAGAAACATGGTCATATTGCTAGCAGGGAGTCTGCTCCAGCCTGGTTGAATTGAGAGATCCAGGGGCCCAGGCTCATGGCAATGTGTATCCAGTGTTAAGTCTAACTGCAGCCTTGCACCTCTGTCTCTGATCTACAAAACAAGAGTCCCTCCTCGCTCACTGGAGTGCCCTGATGACTGTGTTAGATTGCTCTAAGTGCACGGGGCACTAGAATTTAGTGGTAACGGGGTGTCAGGTGCAATAGCAGAAGCTAATATAGGACCATCTTGCAGAAATCTATTTTCTCTCTTGTCTGATGGGTAATATTTGGTTTTGGAGATATGAGTAGCTATTGCTGAACTTTATCACCATAACTGTGTGATGAATGGTTTCTGACCATGCTGTTAAATTCTCACTGCCATTTCTTCTGTCTTATCAGACAAGTAGCAGGAGGTTGCAACTGGATGGTCTTAAGGTCCTTTCCAACCCTCACTATTCTATGATTCTATAATAATAACACACAAGTTAACAGCTACTGACAGCCCTTGATAAAGGATTCAAAGCCAACAAAGATACATCCTTATTCTTTTTCATTCTAGCTGGGATGAACTGCAGGTCCAGCAGCTCACCCTAGTTAAAGACCTTCTCTTCATCCAACAAATATTTCATTGTTGACTTAAAATGACCACTTCTTGAAAAGCCCAGTTCCTCACAGGCAGTACTCCCTCATATCTCTTGCTAAACCACAGCTTTCTGATCTTAACAGAGAATGAGAGACTGCAACAAAAAAAAAAAAAACCAAAACATCACAGTAGCAAGATACTGAATAAGGAGCACATTTGCTTAACTCGGGCGTGGGAGAGAGGACAATTTATACCTATTCAGGATGTAAAACACTGTTTCTTCACAGAAGCATCTTCTTCAATAATTGCATTTTTCTATCTCCCAGCTCCACAATTGGAATTTAATATATCAACAGACTTGCTCTCCTTACCTTGGAGCTGACACTCAAACATGAATAACCAGTACTGTGTTCCAAGGCTACCAAATATGAGTCACTCTGACTGCTTATGGCATTGAGTACTTATGGAAGGAGGATAGGCAGTAATCAGTGCTTTGGAGCCCCTGTCACTTCAGCCTGAGGATTATTCTACCATGTACCCATGAGCAGGTGAAAAATTGTGGTATTGCAAAGCTGTTTGAGAACTTACCAAGGGTTTATATCCCTTTAATTTCCAAAGCTCACCATCATTAAGAAGAAGATGCATGGTCCTCTCCTTTTTCAATTTTATTTATTTATGGTTTCAGTCCTTCTGTGAAAACTCTGAAATTCTGCTTGTCCTACTGATTATAAATATGTAAAGTATTTTAAAGATGAACACACTGAGACCTAAGTTCTGGATAGATCTGTAGGCAAGACTTCTCTTGTGTGACTTAACACCACAAAGTCCCCCAGTAACACATGGCACTGCTTTCCTTGCAGCGCTTTCTCTTTTTCTGACTTTGAAGGATAAAATGCATGCCCAGGACATGGGAGGGGATTAAAAAGGGTAACAGATTTTCAGCAGCTGTGTTGCCATATGTACTTCATTCATTTTTAAAACATTTAATTTCTGTTACTCCTGAGAGATCTATGGGAGGAAAAAAAACATGTATTGAGCTTAACAGGACTTGGAGAATCTCAACTTCTGCTGTGCCCTACTGGGTCACGCCTTTGTCATGTGGGGCTGAGCAATTCCTCTTCAATGTCACAGCCTGCTTTTAAGCTTACAGTGTTGTAACTTGAGCAGGAAGCCACCTGAGTTTAGGGACAGGGATGCTTATATCACATTCTTTCAGGTCTTCAGTACCCATCCTTTAGCTGTAAGGAGACACGCTTTTCCCAATGGGATTTTGAACCCTGCTTTTCCCTCCACAGGGAGTTGGTTGTACCACTTCTTTCTCACAAAAAAAAAAATGAGGGAACCATGCCCTCTCCCCATGCTACTTTTTTATTTAGGACTGCAGTATATTAAGGACATGGAACTGTTGGAACAAGTCCAGAGAAGGGCCACGAGGATGATCAGGGGACTGGAGCACCTCCCATATGAAGACAGGCTGAGGAAGTTGGGGCTGTTCAGCCTGGAGAAGAGAAGGCTGCGTGGAGACCTCATAGCAGCCTTCCAGTATCTGAAGGGGGCCTATAGGGATGCTGGGGAGGGCCTCTTCATTAGGGACTGTACTGATAGGACAAGGGGTAACGGGTTAAAACTTAAACAGGGGAAGTTTAGGTTGGATATAAGAAGGAAATTCTTTCCTGTTAGGGTGGTGAGGCACTGGAATAGGTTGCCCAGGGAGGTTGTGAATGCTCCATCCCTGGCAGTGTTCAAGGCCAGGTTGGATGAGGCCTTGGGTGATACGATTTAGTGTGAGGTGTCCCTGCCCACGGCAGGGGGGTGGGAACTAGATGATCTTAAGGTACTTTCCAACCCTAACGATTCTATATTCTGATTTACACTGAATACCAGAGTTACAGCCTTCACCTGGTGTGTGAGGAGAGCATGGTCTGTTTCCTACTCTTCAAGTGTTCTGTTTCTTAGTTGTTGTGTGCTTGAGCAGATTTGAATCTCCTTCTCACCACTAAATCTCTGGATGGGTTTGTTACCTGTTCTCCCAACATGAAGCTGTTTGCTGGTTGAAAAAAGATAAAAACTGTGGGTTTAAGTAGCTTTTTTCCAACCTTTAACAGAAAAACTTTTTTCAATGACTAAATTATTAATTAAGAGAATGGTACTGCTTCTACCCTGCTGTTAACATAGTGGATATCTCTTTCTTTAACCTAGAGGCTTGGTGGACTACTGGGCAACCTACCTAAGGTTCTTTCTTGTGGGGCTGCACAGTGACTCTTCATTCTTAAGGTCATATCATCAGCTCATATCATCTGACATACCCTACCATGGAGACTTGCCCAAAGATAGTCTTCAGCCTGTGCTGTTCACCAACTTAGTTGCTAGTACAATAGTCCAAATGACTTTGCAAACATCTCTATCATTATATTAATCGGATTGCACATCAAAGTTATTTCTTTTAAACAAGACAGGATGTCACTTGCTTAAATTCTAGTCTATTTATGTTTTTTGCAGATTTTAAAATGAAAATCAAAGAGCAGCCAGAAGCCATTGGACATCTACTGAAGTGGCAGAATCCACTGCCATTGAAGTCATAACTTAATCCTTCTATAGGGATGTGAAGTTAGTCTTGCATAGTCATAAATCAATCTGTCCTTGATAAAGACATAGAGAAAAGGGTCACAAGCTAGGATAGGAAGCAGAAAATAAACACATAGCAAGATTAAAGTGTTCTTTTTCTGTTTTTCTCATGCATGTTTCCTGAGCATTATAGAAGAATTATCCTTTGAAAACTAATTACATTTCCTGAGATTTGGGCAAATGCTTTCTACAGATGAGTTTCAGCTGCATAGGTTTATGTGTGTTATCTTATGGCATCATAATGTATATGCTTAGGTGTTGGCGTTAAACCATTTTCATCAAACAAGAACTATATTTTGTCTTATTTTTTAATTCCCCTTTATGAATTTAGTAATTTTCTGTACTTTACAAAGTAATGGCATTAGATTCTCTTGACTTAGCTTTACAGTAGGCAATCAGCGGTGTTTATGACATGGTTTTCTTTCTCAATCTTCAATCTTTGTGAAGCTTTTATTTCTACTCCATCAGGTCTTGAAAGTTATCTATGCCACCAGCTTCATACCAAAACAACCAGTAATGGGAAAAAAAAATCCACTGTATGCACCACTTTCTGTGCAATTCATTCTGAAGTGCTTTTTCCTGACCCCTTTTAAGTGCTTATCATCAGCACTGACTCAGTTTTAACAACAAGGAAAATGAGAGGCTAGCTTCAGTCTATTAAATTTGATCTCTGATGTAATTAATTTGTTTATTTTTGCTAATTTTTTCCCAACGTATGATGGGCAAGGAGTTTAGAAAGCTAGCTGGTTTAACTAAATTTCAAGGACATTGGAGATTATTTTTAAGTATAGGGTAGAGACCAATAGAGAGATTTTCTTTTTGGCATTCATAAACACAAAGTTAGAAACTCGCAATAAACTCAGACTTGGATGCAACATGGAATCCGTGGAATTAGTCACCCAAATAGCTTTAGAGAATTAATTCCTAAATCACCTTCATGATTTTGAGACCCCTCCCATCTCTCAGGACTTCACACAATTCACAGTGTGGTTTTGCAAAGACACTCATGCTCACACAGTTTCAGTACTTAGGAATCACTGAGTATGTGGATGGAGGTAGTTCAGCTGAGAAGCATGTTTGAACTTTCAAATCCTCTTTGGCTCTCACAGAAGGCTCTTACAAAGCTAAGTTGTCAGGAGATGAGAGGGAAGGTCCTTTCATCGATTAACTGTTTAAAAGGCAGTAATGGAGTTTAGGAAGAAAAGATCGATTCCATAACTGAGGGATTCACTGGAGCCAATCCCCAGGAATCTGTGCAAGAACCAGTAAAAAGGAAGAGGTTTATAAATGAGCTGGGACAAAGGTTCCCACGGGAAGGTACGCAGGTGAAATGGGCTATTCAAAGTGGACAAATCTAACCCAGGCTTTCAAAGGATTTCTAAATGGTGAGTGACTAAGTAACAACATGACGATAAATGAAATACAGGGTTGATAAGTGCAAGGCAAAACACATTGCAAAAAATAACCCTA